AAAAGGCAAAGAATCTTTCTCCATCGGAACATAGCTATAGAATTTATAAGCCCTTAAAACAGCATATAACAAATTAAAAAGCATTTAAATTCATAATTGGCTCAATATTTTTACATGTATTAGAACAAAACATGTTAATTGAGAAAGACTAGTTTGGGGAATTATATCCCTAAAATGAAACACTCTGTAAAGGGCGGTTTTTCATTTGTTCTAAATTTTTTTATCAAATGAAAATTCCTCCTTCCTCCTCTTCCACTAAATAAACATGTGCCAAACAAAGAGAAGTTTTCTGTGCCTTCAAAATGTACTTTTTAAAGGTTTTTTAAAGCCTATTTGAAGAAAGATAATTAAATTAAACTTGACCAAGACAGTTTCTCCATGTCCCCAAAATTTTAAAGTTAAATCAAAACCGATGTATAAATCTACCAATGTACCAGTTATTTCTAAAGCGGCCATGTCACAGTGGACACCAACACAGCCCAGGCCGGGATCCAACGGAGGCTCCAAGCCTGGGCTCCATGGGAACAGTCAGGTGGAGACTATACGTCTGGAGCTCAGCGATGATGTCAGAGAAACCAGGATTGAAAGCATCAGATAGATTAGCAGACAGCGGAGGAGCAGCGAAGTCAGACACTGAAAATATACCAACTAAGAAAATCAGACAAGGCAGGGATGGGTCAAAGGAAGGATCCAACTAGGTCAGAATGTGGATGATAAAAGCAAGCAGTAACCAAGCAACCCAGGTGATCTCTGATACCTGTGTACGTTTTCCTCCCGGCTTTGTTGTATTTGTCCACTGGTGAGGGTGTTAGGTATTGGAGTCAGATGTTAATTATTATAAAAAGGAAATCAAAGGCCTACAGATAGATTCTGCCCTTGATTAACATCCAGGGCACAGCTAGTGGAATTAGCTCAAGGATGCTGGATGCTGTCTCACCTATTTCTCCAAGAAGCTTTTCTGGCAATCCCAAAGACTATGAATGATGATTCCAGTTTGACTGTAGATCTTGAAATAGATGTCTAAAGAAGTCTTGATAAACCCTTTTATAAAATGTAATGAGGATACTTTTCCAATTCACTGTGAGGCAAGCAGCCAACTTCCTAAGGAGTTTGATCAGCAAATGGGGTTTTGAAACAACACATCCATCCGCTTCTTTTGCAAGAACTTCTCAAAGCTGGAAGGGGAGACGTGTGCTGCCTACCCACCCACTCTGCACGGTGATGCCCTTTGCTCCCTACCCAGCTGATCAAAGTGACCTAAATCTATCAGCCAATTCGTTCTGGATCCATTTATCTTCTTATTTAACCTACAGAGAAAAATCTACTGCTTTAAAGATACTACTTTCAAATCCAAGCTTACTCCTTCCACGCCTCCTTTTCCCTCAAAACCAACTGTTTTGCTTTGAAGTGGACAGAACTGGTAGGAAGTTCTATTTTTGCACCTGCCCATCCAGCTGCCTTTCACTAACGTGAGTCCTTCACCCTCCAGACACCAGATGAGCTCCCACACTCCCCCCTGTCTCCACCGACAGGGGTCCAGGGATCTCCCAACCACTCTAAGCACCCCCCACTTCCTCCAGCATCTCCAACCCCAAGACCCAGGCTGCTCCACTGCAACCTGTTTTTCCATCCAGCAGACAAATGGTTTCCAAAGAGTGGACTGTGACCCATTAATAGTTGATGAGTTTTTCAGAACACAGAACAGAAACAGAAATAGAGTAGAAATAGAAATGAAAATAGAAACAATACACAGTAAGGGTACATATTGTTTCATGAAACCTGTTTCAGATACACATACACTTACTTGTACCCTGAGTCAATGTGAAAATTGTACTGTGTTGTCATCCAGAAATGCCTGAAACAAGTCTTTCTCCATCTAGTCAGACTTCCCCCTTGCTACTGGGCCCGCTGCTCAGCGACTCCTTTCCCCGTGCCGGCTCAAGCTCTGAATAGACTGCCAGCTGTCTCCTTCATCGGCTGTCTGCACAAACCTTGGCCTTTTAGAGTGACTCACAAGCTCCTTCTCATGTAGCCACAGGACTGCCCTCTCCTTGAACAGACCAATGTTCTGAGCAAACACACACACACACACACACACACACACACACACACACACACACACACACTTGCTATCCTTAGCCCTCTTTTCAGGATCTGCTCACAGCACCTCCAACTGTCTCACTATGAATAACAAACCCAGAGCAGCACGACTCCATTTCTTTGCTACCTTTCATCTCCAACGAAAAAACATCACCAAAGTCGCTCTTGAAACACCTTAGATTTTCTTACAAAATTAACTTCACTTTCCTGATGTAATGCGTTCCCTGATGTAATACATCCAGTGCCTGATACCAACGCCAGGTGAAAGGAGCTCATCCCTAAAGCCTGTCTGCCATCCTTGAGAACAGATGGCTACTCCACCGCCATGTTGCTCTCTCTTCTACCTCTCACAAGGCAAATGGAAGGAGAGAAGGCACAACGAGGTGATCGTAGGAGCATGGGGGCATCCTTTCCTCTCTCAAGGACAAGGGCGAAAGCTGTCCAGCACAGCTCCACCCCCAGTCCTGCCCTCCCGCGTCCAATCGCTCACAATTCTCACCCAGACAATTCATGCATTATCTTCCTCGACAGAAAAACTCGTTTTCTGTATCTTCCTGTAGACCGTTCAGTTTACTTTTCTCAGTCAAACTGAGTATCCCACTTTTTAATCTTCCAAGAGATAACAAAGCTAAATGAGTCCTTAATCTGCAGGATGTGGGACATCAGTTCGACAAGAAGGGAGTGGGGAGACAATGAGGTCTGAAAGTCTCTTATGAAGCAAACTGCTCAGTTTCTTCTCTCACACGGAAGGCCAGCTTTGAGGGAGGAACATAAACGTGGGGCATCGGTTAGAGCACCAAGGGAGAGAGTGAACAGGTCTGAGAACTGCAGGACAGCTGTGCTAGGCTCTGAAGGGCGAGAAACACTCTCAAAGGGAAAGGGAAAAAGGGCAAGTCACATCTAGGGCACATTCTAGAATTCTCCTCGCAGCCCCACCACTCCCTCTCTGCGACCCGGCCCTTTTCCCATTTCCCAGCCAGGAATCCAGGGCTCCTTTAGCACCTCTCTGGTCACCTGGTTATTGGGAGGACAGGCCCTCCAGTCCCACCCAAGTCGCTTCTTCCTCCTTCCCCACTCCTAGCTGGGAAAACTCTTAACCAATCTAGCACTGAGTTAAATTTCTGATGGCTCCCTGCTCCGGAGGCCTCTCTTTACCTTGCTAATCAAATGAATCTCTCTCCGATGGAGATTTCAGAAAAATGAAGGAAAAGATAGGCCAACTCTTGCATCCATACCCTAGGGTCTATGTAGAAGGCTTCCTTCTTTGGAACTTACTATAAAGTTTCAGCCCCTTGACCACTGCCATTCCTAGGCACCTCGAAGTATACAGATTGAGTCGCAAGAAGCCATTCTTCTTTCCAACAAGGTAAAGAAGGATTAGAGTGAAAGGAACAGGAACAGAAAGTTAATAGTGTAAAAAATCATGACTGACTGAGCAGCTGGGTGTGAGGCATCCACCCTAGATAGGTAAAACTCATGCAAGATCACACAGTAAGGATTCAAACTCTGGAGGGAGGTAATGTGACAAAAGGGAGCTGCAGGGGTAGGGAAAAAAAGGCATCCTCAAAATATATTATCCTCAGGATCACCTAATGGCAGAGGAAGGAGGATGGCAAATAAACTAAAATCCATGGTTCCTCAAGCCAATCTTTCAAATTTTCTAGTGTTGCAGGAGTCCACTTTTCTAACTTAGTTTCACCCAGACAATTTAAGGGCAAGATAAACAAGGGAAAAATCCTCTACTTCACATATAGTACACTTAAAAGGGGACTGGCATTAATTCTACCGTATTACCGTAACTGGCTACACAAAGATGAAACTGCATTCCAAACTATACCCTGGGCTCACACAGCAGTATCTCACTTAAAATACACAATCTAAGATCCATTTTTCTCAACACCGTTTATGAATGGGTAAAGATTTTACTAAAGTGACAGGTTTTTTTTCCTACTACACATCAACTCCTAACATCCACACAGACTCTTCCAACTTGTCCCCAAACTGGAATCAGATTCATTTAAACATTATCAAAGATCACTCTTTAAGAATAATTTTATAATTTCATATAAAAATGTGCACCACATTCACACTCATATGTGTACAACTAAGAAAATACTGGCCAGCAACAGTGAACCTTTAATGAACTTAGACAACTCAAAGCGCTTTCACGGAGGGTGATAGGAAAATGCTAGCATTACGGATCCCATTTCATGGCTGGGTAAACCGAGGTACTTAGTTCAATAAACTTGCTCGGGTATACAGTGGTAGAGATGGAAACAGAAACCAATTTGTCCCTCTGACTCTGCGCCCAGTCCCTCTCCCACTAGACTCTTCAGCACTCGGTAGCTAAAAATGGGACCCACTTGAGAACTGCAAGCGTAAATAAAAGCTTCTTGTTTTATTTAGTAGTGGGGAGGGAGAAGAGGGGGAGACTTACCCACTTGATGCACCTGATCCTGTACCGGCCTCTAACAAGAAAGCTTTCCCTGAATGCCCAAAGCACCCATCCCTTTGAGCTGAGACCCGGCAGGCACCCCCAGGCAGCCCCAGCAGCCCGAATCACACAGCCCGGGAAACGCGAGTGGAACGCTGGGCGTCTGGGCAGCGCTGGGGCCGCGGGCCTCGGGACACCATCTGCGCCCAGAGCTGCGCCGGAGCCCGCCGGGCTAGGAGGATGCTGAGCCGGCAGCACACACCTGCTGGAGCCCTCCGCGGAGCCCCGGGCCGCCTCCCGCGCCGGGGACGCCCACCCAGCCTCCAGGCGCCGGAGCCCTCGGCCGCGCTAGGCCGGGGGCGGGAAGCCGCGGCGCCCCTGCCAGCGGGCTGCGCTCGGCGGCGCAGGAGAGCCACGGGGCAAAGCGAGCCCGCCCTCCTCCCGAACCCTCTCCAAACGGCGTCACCTGTGCCGGGTCCCGGGGCGACTCGCGCGCGGGCAGCGGTGCGCCGGGCCGGGAGAGGGCGGCGAGTGGTTACAGTCGCCTCGTCATCCGGCCCGGCCCGAGGGCTGGCGCCGGCCAGAGCCGCCCCGCGAGATGCTCTTTGGGAGCCAGGGGAGCCAGGGGAGCCGCGGGCTCCGAGCCGCAGGGAGGAATAGCCGCGGAGGATACTGCTACCGCCGCGGCCGCCGCGCCAGCCTGGACTGCGGGCTCGGGTTACCGCAGAGCGGCTCCTTAAAGGGGCCGCGGCGCTCGGGCTCAGGCTCCCGCTCCGGCTCCAGTAGGCTCCGACCCCAGGCCAAAGTGGGCGGGGCCCGGGGCCCCGAGCCGGCGGTAGGGCAGGCCTTCGGGTGCTGCAACTTGGGTCCCGGAAAGGGTTAAAAACCGGGAACACCAGAGGCGGGCTGCGGTGGGATCCTGGAAGAGCACACCTCGCCAGGGACAGAGCGTAAGGTTCCTCGGCTTTCCAAAGCAAGTAACAAAACTAGCAAGTGGGACAATGGTCTGAGTCCACTTCCGCAGCGGTCAGTACCTGGGCTAGCCACGTAACCAAAATTCTTTTCAGATTATGAGTTTACATTTTTCCTTAGATGCCCAAATTCTGGTTAATGAAGCGCATGGTTTGATTATCAGAAAGGAGGTGAAAGGGCAATTGCTGATTTTTCCTGCCACGGTTCTCTTAGCCAGAGTTCCTCGCAGTTTTTGGTTTGGGGCTGCAGATGCGTTCCAAACTGGGTAGGGGGCGTGTGTGGAAGAGTCAAGTTCTTTTGGAGCAGCCTCCTCCGGAATCCCTGAAAAACACCACCTACACGCGGAGCCCCTCTGCCGTCAGGGTGGGGAAGTAGGATTTGGAATTTTTTGGGTGCTGGCTGAGAATTCCAAGTTGCCCAGTGCATAAAGTTTGCCGTTAAATAGTAGCTCTTCTGACCTGTTAAATACGGCCTCAAAAACTTCCGGGTGTCCTGGATCAAAACGATAGAATTGTTCTGAATAAAACAAAATAATGAAGAAATATATTTAGGCTGTTATAATTTGCAAAAAAAAAAAAAAAATCACAAATACTTTTTTTAGAAAGAACCTCACTGAGGTTCAATTTCTTCATCTCTATAATGGGGATAATAATTCACAGACATCTCTGAAGTGTCTTGGCAAATGGACTTCAGACTGACTTAGAAAAGACAAAACCTATTCCAAGCTACAGTGACAAAAACCTGCCCTGTAGTCAAGCAGGGAGGAAGATCTTGCAGGCCCCCAAGTGCATGTTCCCCTTTTTCTCCCCAAGATTCTCAGGACATACCAGGGTACCAATGCCCTTTGACAACAACCTGTCCCATCACAGTCGCTTCACAGTGTGCATAGTCCTTGACAACTTTGGTTTGCCCCATACCTGTCTATGCACTCACACAGGTATTTCATAACTATCCACGAACAGGATGGTTGTAGGTGCACATCAGTGGGATCAGCCCTGCAAGTACAGATTACACACATTATCTCAGGAATCTGCATCAAGACTACCTCTTCCAGGGGCTTCCCTGGTGGCGAGGTGGTTAGGAATCCACCTGCCAATGCAGGGGACACTGGTTCGATCCCTGGTTTTCTTATTTTCTTCCCTTAATATATATGTCTTACTTTTGTCTGTATTTTTATTTTTAATGAAAGTAATACAGGTAAGTGAAAATTCAAGAGGTTCTTAAAGGCTTTTAACAAAAAATACCCAGGAGTCCCATCAGTCCCCTGACCAACTTCTCCCCCACCTAGCTTCACCCCAGTTCCCCATAACCCTGCTAGGTGTTCTTCATTTCCTAAATGATAAACTTATACCAATGTTTCTTGATTTTCAGGTTTAGACATTATTTATTGACTTCTTGTCATGGTATTTGAGTATTTAGCTCTTTTATACACACCACCACCCACTTTGCCCTCACCCTTCCTTCTGACATAGCCACATCCCAACTCTCGTTCAAGTCAGCAATTAGGGTTGTACCATCTTGACAATACAAATATAGAGTGTTGCTGAATCAAGTAAGTTACCATGATAACGCTCTTCTTGAAAATCTCCTGTTCTCTCTGGAGTTAAAAATTGCTTTATTTTTTCACTTAAAAAAAAATGTACCTAACCTGAATTTTATCCAGATGCTTCAATGTAACTATCAAATGCCCATCAATAATATCTTCTAATGCCCAAACACGTGATTTTTCATTTATTCTTTTACTTTGCTAAAGCACAGACTCCAGTAGCTTACTCAGAAGGGGTGCATAGAAGATAAACTTTTAGAGGGCTTGACTGTCTGAAAATGTCTTTATTCTATTCTCATCCTTGATTGATAATTTGGATAAACTGAAGATCATTTTCCCTCAGCATTTTAAAAGCATTGTTCCACTGTCTTTTACTTCCAGTGTTGCCACTGCAATGTCTAATACCTTTCTAGTTCCCATTCCTCTGTATCTGACCTATTTTTCCTTCTAGAATCGTCCCATTATCTCTAGTAGTCTAAAAGTTCACACTGATGTACCTTAGAATGGTTCTTTTTTCATTGATTGTGCTGGATACACAGGGGTTCTTTTGATCTTATCTGCAATTATTTTCTTTTATTATTTCTTTGCTAATTTCCTCCCTCCCATTTTCTTGTTCTCTCTTTGTGAGCTCTTGTTACTAGGATGTTGGGACTTCAATATTATCCTCTAGATTTATTGTCCTTTTATCTGATTGATCATCTCTGCATCTTTCTTTTCTACTGTCTAAGACAGAGATGGGGGACTTCCCTGGTGGCGCAGTGGTTAAGAATCCGCCTGCCAATGCAGGGGACACAGGTTCGAGACCTGGTCCAGGAAGATCCCACATGCTGCGGAGCAACTAAGCCTGTGCGCCACAGCTACTGAGCCTGTGCCCTGGAGCCCGCATGCCACAACTACTGAAGCCTGTGTGCCTAGAGCCTGTGCCCCACAGCAAGAGAAGCCACCGCAATGAGAAGCCTGCACACCGCAACGAAGAGTAGCCCCCGCTCACCGCAACTAGAGAAAGCCTGCCCGCAGCAGCAAAGACCCAACGCAGCCAATGAATAAATAAAATAAATAAATAAATAAATAAACTGGGGGGAGGGAGAGTTGATTCTCCCCACCCCGGCCATTTGGCAATGTCTAGTGATATTTTTGGTGGCCACCACAGGAAAAAGGGGCATGCACTGGCATCTAGTGAGTAAAGGCCAGGGAGGCTGCTAAGCATGTTACAATGCACAGGACAGCCTCCCACGACAAAGAATTTCCAGCCCCAAATGTCAGTCATGCCAAGACTGAGAACTTCTGGACCAGGAGAATTACTTAACTTTATCTTCCAACCTTCTAAAGTTTCTATTTCAAGCATATTTTTCTTTCCCATTCTCTGATTAGCTCTTTTGTTATGGGAACTCTCCATCAAAATATAAACTCCTTTCTCCAGAAAAGAAATTTCATACTTCACAGAAAGATTGTGTTGGTAGTGGTACAGTCAGGGTGGAGTGCATGAGTGCAGGCTGGCTGTATGAGGTGGGGGGGGAGGACCAGTGGTCCAAGAGCTTTTTTGTAAACAACACTTTGGTCAATCCCCCTCCTTCAGGTTTATTCCTCAACCTGCCTTCCACCATGCAGTGCGCCTCCAAATGCTAAGTCTCCTCCAAGCACTTAGGTTAGCCCCTCTCCCACTTTGCCAAGTCAGTTACAGTCGGCCTGCCATTTCTGTGGATGTGGAACCCGGTCATAAAGAGGGCAGACTGGACTTCACCATTTTATGTAAGGAACTTGAGCATCCATGGATTGTGATATCCAAAGGAGGTCCTGGAACCAATCCCCCAAAGATACCGAGGTATAACTGCATCTCTACTCCATCCAACTTCTGGCTTCCAAAATTTACTGAGATCTCCCATCTGCTGTGTACTTTTCTCCAGTCCTCTTCTTTCTTGTGGCTTATATCTTGTAAACCCCTTTGTCACTATCATTTTAGTGCTACTCAGCAAAGAATAAGTGATTAAAAAAATTAAGTAACGGAAAGGGACCCAAAACAGAGGAAGGGGAAGAACATGGATCTATTTTTCTTAAATTTCTAACTTATTTTTTTAATTGTGCCAAAATATTTTCATAAATTAAAAAATTTTTTTACAAATTAAATCGATGTTAACAATCACTAGTTTACGTATATGTTTATAAATTTTAGATCAGTTTGTTGAATATCCTTCCAGATACTTTTCCATGCATACTTGCATATACTTTAGGGTTTTTTAAACAACAAAACGAATTAAAACAGTACATATTATTGTGTAATTGCTCAGACTGTTCCATTCAGTGGGTGCACCATAATGTATTTAACCAATCTCTTACTGTTGGACATTTATAGACCTTACTGTTGGACCAAATTTTCAGTTTTCCCGAAAAGGTAAGGTAGTAATGTCTGACTAGAAATTAATTCTAAGATTCAAAGCCAGTTTCAAGATTAACGGGGAAACACTGAAGGATTCCTGCTCAGATCAAGAGGAAGAAAAAAAAAAAAGAGGAAGACAAGGGGGATGGCAACTCTCCCACTGCTAATACAGTGGTACTGGAAGCATCAGTCAAGGGTACTAGTGAAAGAGAAAAAGTAAAGACAATAACCACTGGGAAAAAAGATTATAAAGTTGTTAATATTTGTAGATTATGATTATATACTTGGAAAACCCAAGAAAATAAACTGAAAAAATATATAAACAATAGAAAATTAAGTATGGGAGCAGGATATAAAATTAATTTGTGGAAATCTGATATATATAGATATATATGTATACATATAACTGTGTACATGTGTGTATATATACATATATAAATACACATATATATTTGTATACACACACACACACACACACACAAACACACACACACACACACACAATACCCCCTTACAAAATAAAAGAAAGAAAAGCTTCCACTTACAACTGCAGCAAAAACTATAAAGTGCCTAGGAATAAATTTAACAATACGAATAACAATATAAATATGAAAAACTTATATGAGAAAACCTTTAAAACACTCCTACA